CGACATAATGGAAAGACATGTGTTTGACCAGCACTGAGCACCTTTCCAGTTCTAACATCAACCTGTGTTCATGCTTGAGCAGGTTTCCGGCGCCATGAAACTCATTACTTACTTTGATTCCACTACAGGACACACAAAATGTGTTTGGGTGTCAAGTTGAAACTTCATGTTTTAACCTGGCCTTCACTCTCATCATCCTTCTCACGCCTTTCAAGATGCACAATCATTTTGTCACACTTCTTCTGCTTGTCGTTGGACCGAGATCGAGCTCCACGTTGAAACCTGCCAAATCGACAGGGTGACTTGCTGGCAATGAAACATGGGGTGGCATGGCAAGCTGACGATAGTAGTATTTGCATGTAACATCATGTTATGTTCCAGTATACTCTGCGTGGTGTTTCATTTCTGTACAGGACACTATCTAAGAATCTAAGCATAGTGAACTTGTGCAAAACATGTCCCACCACATCAAGGAACTTCTGCGGCAGCATCCCAGCTGATTTCATGTATAGTTCGAGCAAAAAACGGTCCACTGCCCGCTGCTTCTTCGGGAATCGGTTGTTGCCCTTGGCACGCATCTTGAATAAAGCAACACCAACACATCTCTTTCAAAGGTAAACCGTTTTCTATTATGGGCCAATGGAAAGATTGAAAATAATGCGCTCAAGCTTTGTCAAGGGACCCCCCCCCAGAATCGCAAGCGACGATCCCTTTGTCCAGAGATCAATCTGTTCATCCGGCCATTACCAAGACCCAAGATTGCAACAATGCACTTTGGGCCCATCCGTTGGTTCATCAAAAACCAGCGACGCTTCAGGCCCTGGCGGCTGTTGCCCGCAACCTGTGCCACCTGAGCTGAGATCCACGATTGTTTTCAGCATTCTTCAGTCACTCGTGCTGCAACCTCATTCATACTTTGAAGATATCTTTTGGCATAGGCTGAGACTCACATAATTATTTTGAAGATATCTTGTATCACAGGCTGAGGCTCACATGATCATTTTGAAGATATCTTGTAGCACAGGCTGAGACTCACATGATTATTTTGAAGATATCTTGTAGCACAGGCTGAGACTCACATGATTATTGCACAGGCTGATACAGGCTGGGACTTACATGATTTTACATGCATATTCTGAAATATTTTGAAGATATCTTTTGGATTCTTTTGGCACAGGCTGAAACTCACATTGGGTATCTTTTGGCACAGGCTGAGACTCAGACATACAGGTCTTGGGCACTTTTCTCCAAAGACCAAAAGATCTGCAGGAAACGCTGAAGGTCATGTCCGAGTTTTCGTTTATAACACCGCTTTCGGGGGCAGCGACACTCCATCGATTCCAGGCGTCAGATTCGCTCTGAATCTGACTGCCTTGGGAATCGAAAAGCTTATCGCAAAACACATCATGTTGCAAATTGACATACACACACAAGAGAACAGGTGACTTAAACTGATGCAAACTAGTAGCCTATCACGCGCTTTCGGACGCCCTTTTGCATAGAAGGCCCGTTTTCTAGTGTCATAGTTTGGACGCTTTCTGCATCTTCTGTCACTCTCTTTGGGGTCCGGCTGGTGGAGATCCACATGGTCTCTCATTGTGTTCTGAAAGTCCAGCAGGGAGCGCAAAGAAAATCTCACTGCCTCAACCTTCTTTGTTTCCTCCCGCTCTGTGTCTGAAACTGCTACTACACTCTCTTTTGGTTTCTCATCTTTCAAACCTTTGAAAAATTTCTTCCTTTTGTTGTCCGTCTCATCTGAGGTAGATCCACTTGCTTTCAGTGACTGGAAGAACCTGCGCACATCTGCACAGAATCGTGTTTGGTGTAGCATTGATCTTGTATACTAGGTCAATACTTGGGGATCAGGCTTCAATTTGAAGCAGGAAGATTCTGACTGCATCTGAGGTGATGCGATCAAGCGATTGCAGCGGCCTCTTGCGATCCATGCTGCTTTGGCGAAATCCTGGCAGATACTGCTTTTGACTTGCAACTTGGGATTTGTCCATTGTCTGGGTGGATCTAGAGGTCAAACTGGGTGTCAGATGTTGTCCGCTTCGGGAAAAACCTATATGATACAGGACCATGAGTCATGGGTGCTACTTTCGTTGCTGAAGATTGGCGCCAAGGTTTCGAAAAAGGCAAAACAAAATCCAAGATGTTCTTTGAGGTCGGGGCATGCTCCGCCAGCACATGAATCCATCCTTCAGTGCAACACAGTCGTTCAGACATCAATTCTGGAAAGGAACTAGATGGAACTAGTTACTAGTCACGAGATGAAGCTTCGTTCGATCAGAATATCAGCATCAAAACCATACCAATATCAGATAGGAGTCCAAATTCGTAACTCTTCTGATAATGCACAAGCCAAGATTGCTGGCTGAAGCTTCTGTCCTTCAGCTTGCTCGCAGCAGGTGGCTTCCTGAGGGCCTGAGGGCAAGCTGAGCGTGCAAATGATCAAGACTCAAAGCAGGGCATGGCATGATTTCACAAAGTCCCGAATAGATAATAATTGTGAGTTTGATTGAGTTTGGTTGAATGTGATTGAACATGTTTGAACTAAACCTTCAATGACAGCGTCGGAGTTCTGAGCACAGTGCCCTGTTTGTTTGCGAGCTGATTGCGTCAGTTGCCAATGGATTCTAGCACCTGCAGCAAGTCTGGAAGAGATTTCAATCTATTGGCATATCTCCGGTTGTCTAGGATATGTTGTGTTTTTGATTATTTGGGATTGAGCTGGTCAATGCTGGTCACTGATTCCCAAATTCTAAGTTAAGTTAGCTGTCTAATGTTGTTTGCAGAAACAGTTGCAGCACGGTGTATCATGTCTGAGGGCTGCACCACCTGTCCAGAGATCCAACAATCCATGCTCTAAGCATCTCGATGCAGAAGGCTAATAGATACTTTATAGTTGTTGCTGTCACCATTTGAGAAATGCAGTAGTGACAACCGTCTCAGCTCAATTCTTTCAACATCTTAACGACATGTATTGCTCTTTTCTCATAAGTGCTGACTTGATCACATGTTGGAGCTTGTTGAAGCTTAATAAGTGCTGATTTGATCCCGCAACTCGCTACATGAAAGATATAGATATCTCTTTGGGCTAAACCTATGCTTTCATCACGTTGGGCATGCTTGGGCTCAGTATGGCTCATCATGCTTGGGCTCAGTTGGGAAGTCCATGGCCAACTCATAGATTGCAGAGATTCAAGGATCCCAGGTCATGACATCAAAAGAGTTTTCAGCAGTCCATTGAGGTCCCAGACGAGTAATCGGAAGTTCCACAACCTGGCATGGGCCAGATTTCAATCAGGAACCGGAATGAATCACCTAAGGGTATACAACTGTTGCAGGTCTAGAATTGTGTACAAACCAGCCAGGCCCACCTGCAATCCAACAGCGAGGTTGGATCAAAAAAAGGGCCGGGCAGCTGTGACCAGGAATCATGTCTGACACCCAAAACAGCGAGGTTCGATCAAAACAAGGGCCGGGCAGCTGTGACCAGGAATCATGTCTGACACCCAAAACAGCGAGGTTCCATCGGGCAGCTGTGACCAGGAATCATGTTTGACCCCCAAACATAAAAAGATGACACCTGAATGCAACGAAATAGACATATATATATATATATATTTTTCAACTGGTAATGCAACCACACAAATTTGGTAATCGCTTTTGCATTGGGTAGTTGATAGTTCCACTACCAAATGAAGTGATTATTCGTATAATAATATAATATAATATAATATATATATATATATAGAATTATGGAGGTTTCCTAAAGTGGTGAGTACCCCAATAGCTGGATGCTTTATAAAGGAAGAATATATATAACTATAGTATATCATAGTGGAAAAATCAACCATCAATGAATAGTGGGATATTTTAACCATGGGATATAAACCGATTTGATTTCATGGGATTCAATCATCAACACTGGTGATGGATATCATGGATTTAATTTTATGGTTGTTGATCTTTTGAACTAATGGGAATCTAATGGGAATCTAATTTCATCGCTGAACTTCATAGTCGAAGTAGGAAATCTAATGGGACGTTACAGGGACGACCATGTGATTTTTTCATGGAAAAGCCAACCATACTGCGGTTTCAATGGATCAGTCTCCCAGAAATACTGGGATTCGATAGAGTCACCCGAGGTGATTTTGGGAACTGGATGTAAGTTCCTGATGATGAGCCATAATAGAAGATACCCTCTGGTAATTTAACATAGCTATTGAAAATAGCCATTTATAGTTGATTTACCCATTAAAAATGGTGATTTTCCATAGTTATGTTAGTTTACCAGAAGATAAAACCAGATTAACTGATCCAATTGGCCTAGCATCCCATGAGTACTTTCCAATTGGATGTAACTGCTTAATTTGATGTAATTTGTGACATAGCTATGGAAGCCATGACACGTTTAGTTTGATGATTTACCGGTTTTATAAATGGTGGTGTTAAATCACCAGAGAGTATCACTCTGAAATGTGTTGTCACAATGAGATCTGAAAGTTGTTGTTATATGTTATTATACTATGATATACTATGGGTAATCAAATAATAAGATATTTGACAACCAATTCCAGGAAACTGGTAATGCAACCACACAAATTTGGAAAAATCGCTTTTGCATTGGGTAGTTGATAGTTCCACTACCAAATGAAGTGATGATAGGTAGTTGTTGTTGTAGATTATTAACACGAACCTATATCACCGGGCATTCGTGTTTCAGGGGATGATTGGTCGTCCCGTCATTGTTTAACCCAAAATCCCTAAATGTTCGGTTGGTGATACCCCTTCCGTACTATTATGTATACGCCCATGTTCGTTGGTTCATTTCAACATCCCTTTTTGCTGACTAAGATGTACAACTCTTGCCTGAACAGCGTAAATCACGAGCAAAAGCAAACTTTTGCTGGAAACATCACCTAGTTTTGCTTGTCGACATATGTCGACATAAATACACTTTTTTTTGCGGAAAAAGAACTTTTTGCTGGCTACCTCCACCTGAATGTTGCTGAATGTTGCTGAATTCTCACCATTTTCGCTGATGAAAACCAAAGCTCTTGCCGGTCAAATCCCAATGAGTAAAAAGCATCACCAATTTCTATCGGCTTTAAATCATATATTGTAAATCCCTGCGCCAGCAAGATCACCCTTTTGCTCGGTAAAAAATCATAACCCTTTTTTGTTGGTAAAAGATTTTTCAGTGAAAAATCCATAAAAATCCCAGAGTTTTCTCCAGTTTTGCTACTTCCCCCCAAGCCTTTGCGTAGCCCCAGGGGTCCCCCTGGCACCTCAGGCCGGTTCTGCACAACGTCGCTGAGGCATCGTAGCACGTTGTGCGTCAGCCGCTCCACCGCCACGACCACGGATGCTGATTCCGCCTGGGAGGTTCGTCAGGGAGGATTTCGAGACACCATGGATTTTAGATGCTTTAAATTAGGGATCATCGGACAACAATGGATGATTTATGATAGGATATACTGATGATCAATAGTTGAATGAATGATTTATATCAATTGATTAATCCATCAATAGTTGAATCTAGTTGATATAATGATGGATTAATCAAGTGATTAATCAAGTGATTAATCAAGTCACCGTGGTTGTGCAAAAATACTGAGTTATGGTTGACTTGGATGATGCCAGGGGGTAGCCCCATGAATTTGAACACCTCCATATATTTCCATCTATTTTTGAAAGCCAAGGGGTTCACTTAGGCAATCAAATCTTGCATCACTTAGGGCATAAATGTGCATAAATGTGCATAAATGTGCATAAATCATATTGCTGGCCCTAAATTTCCCAAATCAAAGGATTCTGCAGATTCCCCTGAGGCTTCGCCATTTAAGGAACCAGCCCCCCCCAAAAAAACTGTCGTCCAGTCACCCCGCGCCGTGCTGTCACCGTTCCCTCCATGGCGCGGAACGGATCTTTTTGGGGGATGAGATGGCTACGGCGGTCGAAAAAAGATCGCTGATGATCGCTGTCAAAAAGGCCTTCCTGCAATAGCAAACCCCAAATTCAATGGATAGGTTTCGTTTAATAAGATGTAAATATATACTTTCCAATATGGTTGTACTTCATGGATTTTGAGGGAATTTACTGAAAATCGGAAACCATTGCAAAATGACATGTTTTTTTTCATCAAATTGGGGTTCCCGGATAGTTGTTTTACCTTAAACCAATCCAATGACAAAAGTATACCCTCTGGTTATTTAACATAGCCATGGAAAATGGCCCATTTATAGATGGTTTACCTATTTAAAATGGTGATTTTCCATGGCTATGTTAGTCATAACCAGAGGGTAGTAATTAAAGTTAGACAACTGGAAATTGTAAGGGGAAACCGAAAAATCGAACTACCGGAAATTGGAAATACTCTTTGGCACTTTTTTGGGGACCTCTATTAAACGTGCCAATCATTTTGTTGGGACCTTCCGAGTGTAGCTATGAGATGCCGTGAGTCCGTGAGTCCCTGATAATTTGGATGAATTGATCATGGATGATTCTGGTGATTGTAGGAAGCTCCAAATGTTGCCACATCCGGAAAAACCCATTATATTTGTATCAGCTGTATCAGTGTTTGGACTGGACATCTTCCAACAAAAAGATTTGTATCACTATCACAGTCAACATCAAACTTGGCCAGGGAAATGGAAAATGCCGGTTTCAAACATGTTCAATAGGTCTATATTCTACATGCGCAAATCTTTCTTTCGCTGCCTTGATTCGCGAATAAATGTAGATCACAAAGAAGTACGTGCAATAGAAAGCGACCTCAGCTTGGTGCTGCGGGTGATGTGGCTGGTAAATCCATCTGAGCCCGAAAACACTCAAAATCAAGTTGTATGGCTATAATGATTCATCCAGTCGGTGCAGATCATCCAAGCAATGTTGTTCCCCTTCTGATAGGACATTATATAGATGAAGGAGCGGCGGAATATATGTGTATATTTATACATGCACATTAATATAATGTGTATTATATACACTATATATATATATGAGGTTACTGCAAAAGGAGAGGAAGACCCTAACTCGTTTTCCAGCCGTGTACATGGTTTGAAGCCTGACCTCGTTCTTCCAATGACGCACTTATTTTTGAACTGTTCTCCGTCTTCAATTTTGAGACCTGCCTACCTGTTCAGGCAGCCTCACCTCGTTTTGCACCTAGACTTTACTATGTGTGCCTTCTTTTGTGCAGAATCTCACATACCTCTGGCAACCAAACACAAACACTTGCAGCATTTCAACACCAAACAAAAACCATCAAAAACCCTAATATGAGTAGTTCTGGCTCAAGACGATTCTTACAAGGAAATGATGGTTGGCTTCAAAGGGAAAATCACTACCTTTGTGAGTTCATTCGCCAAGCCCGTATCAAAACATGGCTTGTCTAAAAATTGGCTTCCCTAAATCCATGGTTCATCATCAGTTTCCCCTCAAAATCTATTGAACGAGTTTTGTTTGCTTGTGTTTGTGGCTAGTCCCCCATGTTCTTCTAGACAGCCTCACCTGACCAACAGCCGAAACAAACTGTGCTACAAGCCTCGGTGAAGCCTCGCAGACAAGGTGCACAGCCCAGCATCAGCGCAATGCCATGGGCAGCCAACAAAGAGTAGAGGAAGAAGAAGGAACACCTCAGCAATGGCTTTGTCAGTCCACATATCACTTTGCTTAAAAAGCGTAGCTATATTCTGGGATATTGGATATTTGTAGATATTTTGATGATAGTTGTAGTATGTCAAATCCCGTCTGGTTGCCGATAATTTCATCCTCAGAACTTCAATGATTACCCCCATTATTCAATTGTATGGACCCCAAAATGAATAGATCCCGTCTAAACCAAGATTTCGTTTCGGGGGTCTACATTGAACTATTAGGGGGGGAATTTAGGGAAAAGAATTTGTCAATATTTGTCATACACATAGTTATATAAGGCAATGTATCACCGGATGTAGAATGATACTTTTGTTTTTGTATATTATCATAGATTAATCATATATATATATATTATACATATATATCATATATAATCATATATAATCATATATAATCATATATAATCATATATAATTTAATCATATAATCATATATTGATATGATGTATGTCTCCAGATCTGGGATATACAGTAGTCAACAATATGATGGTTTGAAAAAAACCTGGTGGGAGATCGTGATACGCCAACATTGGAAAATTGGTGATTTACTACCAAGTTATGAGGACCAGTAATCATGGGGATATAATGGGGATATACAATCAAAATATGTGTGTGACTTGGGTCTGACCAAAATAATGGATAAAAATCCATGATTTATCCCCAAATTTGGCAATTTATATAAGAGGAAAGTAAGACCAGTTGGGTATTGTACCTCGGGTTAGCCCCAACAGAGGCTACTTTTTTCGTGGCTGGATCATCCAACCTGAACTCATGGTTTCCCAGGTCCCCAAAGGGGTCCCCGACTGTAGGAAACCTGTCATCCCTGTCTGCAGGAAGAAATAGATGCAATACCTGGCTATTTCATGACACCAGCAGCAACCAGATTTATATACATATATATATAGATAGATTGATACTATGGCTTTGTATCGAAATATATAGTAGTTATTCCAACTTCCAGTGATAAATCATCATTATCCCAAATAAAGTCTCAGCAGATCTTACTGATCTCCAAAACTCAAAAAATCTGGGCAAAATGTGGGGCTGACTCTCCCAAAATCATCATGGGTTTTTTCAGCCAGCGAAGTCGCTAGACTTGGCCCAAGTTCAAGCTTCAGCAGGTGCCATCTGGGACCATCAATGGGATCGTCTGGGCGCACAGGTAGAAGAACACCGACACAGCTGTTCCAGAGCCTTGGCCCATGGAATTTACGGCACGAGCGCAGATCGCAGCGCAGTTCGCAGCGACTGAGGTCATGGACCAAAGGCTCTCCACCACCACCGGTGGTCCTGCCATAGAAATGCTGGGAGCCATAGAGGTCAGATCACACACTGACCATCAACCGATAGTGGGTATCATTTACCTATAATTGGTTGGAGCAACCCTGTAGAAATGAAGGCAAAGCTTGTGGGATCCATTGCCGCCTCTCTACCCGTGCATATCTCAACATGGTTGCCACTGTTGCCACTCTATGCGGAGTGAAATAGACTGCATTTTGTCATTTCGTGCAAGTAAATGATAGTAATTCTGGTAATTTAACATAACTATGGAAAATCACCATTTTTAATGGGAAAATCCACTATTTCTATGGCCATTTTCAATAGCTATGTTAGTCATAACCAGAGGCTACTGCGCCATCAGAATCCCACGGTGCCATCCTCCGCATTCAAGTGGAAGTATGTGAATAGCACTGTGACCTACCAACGAGGCCAGCCCGGGCAAACACAGCCCCCACCCAGAAATCGATTGAAAAAACGTTCCGCGCGTATGAATGTAGGTGAATACAATGTAGATCAATGTAGTATAATTTAACATGTTCATCCGTTCATCCTCCAATGTTTTTTCCTTCAGGATGAAAAAAATGTGGATTTGTCCTGTCATTGATATTAGTTCAATAGATTATGACAGATTTAAATAGTACGCATCCAAATTATATCATGGAATCCGTTCAACATCAATCTGTCATTGATACCGTTCGGTGTCGTCAAACGTGGCGTTCGCTGGACCACCTACTTTTGCATTTCAGGGCATTTCAATGGGGTTTCCCCATTTTCACAAAATGAAGGATGGTATTTGATTACCAGAGGCTACCTTTCCTAATGTTGTAAACTCAATCATATACCATCCCATGAATCAATCATCCCATTGCCAACGCAAGGTATACCATAAAATTTATGAAAGAAACACCTCAAACTTGGGGATGATATTTATGATAGTTCTACCAAAACTCTTCCACTATCAAAGCTCATTAAGGATGATTTATTATGATTTATTTCTTGATTTATGATAGGATTTATGATAGTTATCCCACAATTCATCCACTATTTTCCCATGTTTTTCCCACAGAAAGCTCCGCCGCAGCCGAGGTGCGGTTCCTGCCACCAACAATAGCATGGTGAAGGCCAAGAGCAAGATGCCTGAGATCTCATTGGATTTATATATATATACTATGACATAATGAATATTATACAAGTATATACAAGTTTTTTATTGGCAGTCTGTGACTAGATACTCCGCATTTAAGTATCCCATTTAAGTTGGTTGTGGTCTCTTCACATCCAAATGTTATTGATGGATACATGTGTATGTATATTATATATATATGCATAAACAACATATATGATAGGTATAATTAATACTATACTATATCATTGTTAGATATAGTTATAGTTCAGGTTGAAACAACAAATCATACAGCGCACGTCACCATGGATTATATAGATATTGACTGAGTACGCATCTACATCCGGAATGCGGACAGCCATTCTGAAAAAATGTCATCCCACTTTTATGGCTGAACACACAAAAACTGTTTGAAAGCGCCAATCAGCAATTGATCACCAGATTCACACGTTTTCTTGGTTGTCTATGGTTCATATATACTCAGCAAATATCCCATTTTGTTGGTGATGTTCTCTTCAAATCCCATCTTGTTATTGTTGGTTTTTTCTCTCAACAACAGTAGGTCACTTACCTGGTCTCATCAACCGGTCATTGTTCCAGCCGCGCGGCCGTAGAGGAAGTATATCCGTGGACCCCAGACCTTGACGCAAGGCATCGGATCCACAACTGGATCCACCCCTGGAGGGTAGGTATGTGAGGTTTTTTCCGGTACCGGATTACCCAGATTTATGTATGTCTTACCCATGACGGATCCATGGTGCTGGTATATATACTAACATTGGGGGTATATTGGTGGTAAATGTTACCATATATAGCATACATGGATCCTATGTATTATGTATAGACTATGTATATCATATGTTTGCTATGCTAGGGATAGCAGCATGGGAAACCAAGGGAATTCGGAGTAAAAACGCGTATCAAGTCACCTCAACCAGGGGTGCCCAAACCCTGAGAAAAGTAATGTTCCTCGTAGATGGTAATTCGGTAAATCAATGGAAGTATCACCCTTCAATGAAAAAGAAAACTGTGTAGTTAATTTGTTGTTATAAATATATATATATATCATTCAATATCATTCAACAGTTCTACTAGCGAAAAATTATGTAGGAAGAAGCCACAAGCAAGCCGGACAGATCATAATTTCACCACAAAATGATGATGTGGATTGATATGGAGGTTTCCTAAAATGGGGTGTAGCCCTAAATCTTCCATTTTGATAGGATTGTCCAGTATGAATTATAAACTACGCGGCTATTGGGGTATCCCGCCCATTTAAACATCATCGGAACATCGGTCCGCCACTGCCCTGTGCTAGGAGATCTCCGCTTGGTGCACATACCGAGTTGAAGATGTAGTGCAACTCGATATAGATCGCACCTGCAACCAGCAACCAGCAACCAGCAGGGCCAGTGATAGCTGGAGTAGCTGGCTGCTATGTTTTTTTTTCACCCGGTTTTGTTGGTAATCCTGGTTGGAGGAGTGCATACATCATATATCTTACCGCACTAGCAACTGGCAGTAGTATACCTTCAGGCACTCTTGGATTCGCTGAAAGGGAGTAAACAAATCTCACCGGGATTCCCGAAAACTTGGACTAACATGGAGCAATGGGCAAAAAATCAAGAATCACCGTTTGCCTATAACCAATCCCGGAATTGGGGCCAATTTTTTCGCCAATACCAATATGATCAATATGATCAATCTCACAATAGCCCACCTAAATCCACCAAACATTTTTTTTAGGGCTTCCAAACATGTCCAACTACCCAAAAAAAATTATCGGATATTCGTGGCATGGGAGTGGTAGTTTTCCCCTCTCTTGGAATTAAAAATAGGCAAATCTCCTCCAAGCCAAGGAAGGCCCAAGGCACTGAAGGGCAAGAAGCCCGAGGCAAACATCTGGGTCACAGGGCTCTGGTACCTGCTCCGCTCACCAAGAATGGCATATTTTTGGCTGAGGATGTTATATGATTGTTCCATCTACAGCAAAAAACTAAAAGGATGAAACTACCTGTACCCATCTAAGGTTGGTAAGGTTGGGGATGACAAATACGCAGCAAAAAAAAACATGACTCAACCTTTTAGCTCATGGCAGTCACTGCAAATGTCCTTCTAGTTTCCGTTGCAACAATAAACCCACCAATCACCAATCCACCAAACAAAGACCGACCGATTATAACAAAAAGCAGACCATGGCAGACCAATGCCGTGGCTGTTGTGACGAACCGCCTACCTACTGTTGGATTATCCATCTGTCTCTATGTTCAGTTCGCAGTTCGCAGTTCTGAAGCGCCACCGGGGTCAGAAATCCAGGTTCCAAGGGCACCAGCGGCACGCTGGGATTTCCCGTGCAAGCTTGTTGGTCTTGCACGGGAAAGGACTGCCCTCTGCCTGCAGCGGACAAGCTAGGCGAAACGGACCAGGGAGGATTCGAGCCTCCACAAACAATTGTCAGAGTTGGACACCAACTTTGCAAGCTACGCCACACCCATAGGGCAACTGGTCCTCTGCATGTGAAGGACATATAAAGATTCCAAAGTTGGCAGCCCCGCTCGCCTGAGCCTGCTTGATGGACCGGTGTCGTCCTCAGCTGACGCGGTTGGGGCCCCATCCTGGACGTAAGACACGACTGAGAGCAGCGCCAATGATGCCGCCCAAGACGGTGAGAGGAAAGGTCACGCACGCCCACATGGCGAACATCAGCAATCTCAGAACAAATCGTGGTGGATCCCCATGGGGCACATAAAAGGCCCATAGGATGGGTGGCAAGAACCTGAGAAAAGATGGATATCGGTTCCTTAAAGACATTTATAACATATTATATATTTTTATCACATTATAACACCACATTAGCTGATCTCGTTCCTAAAATCCAAAGTGAGCAAAGATCAGATGAAAGCACATATCTTTTCGACGTGCCGCGGAAAACTCAGACGCAAAGAGAGCTAAGAAAAGGTGCTGAAGGGGAATCATGTCATGCGCTGAAACTAGTAACTTAGTAATGTCATGCAATGAACATTCGCTTACGCCCACTGAGCATTGTATATCGGCTTACAACAAATATCCAAGCCTCATTGAATCAAAAACAACGTGAAACGTGCATGAAAGAAGCAGCCGAAGGAAGCTGGAAAACATGTTTGATAGCTAGAGTAACTAATAATATAATCTAACCCGCTGATGTAAGCTGTAGAATCAGAAATCCCATGGGAAATCTCCCATGTCACCCAGGAACTCCCATGGGAAATATGGGAAATCCCTGGCAGATTTGGTCCATTTCAGATGTCAGGATCTGAGGTTCCGCTCATGGTCGGAAAGGGAAAGGCCGCGGTGGATCCATAGAAAATGGCCACCGTATTGAGGAAGGACCTGGCGTTGCGGCGCAACGCCGTGACCCATGGCCATCAATCAGATGAGACTAATATCCCATAGGATCCATGGTGCTGGTATATATGCTAACATTGGGGGTATATTCATGGTAAATGTTACCATATATGGCATACATGGATCCTATGGGTATTGGATAGACTAATGATAAAGCATAAACAATGATGAAGAATATGATAAAATAGATGATAAATCCTGACAAACAATGCAATAAACAATCAGATAAACAATATGGTAAATCCTGAGTTGGGGAATTCCATGGCTTTGTCATGGTTTCTCATCGTCCATCTCATTGAGAAACTCGGAGAACAGGCTGGATTCCAATTGAGAAACTCGGCTCAGCTCTGGACCAGATCAAGAACGCTGGGCCCATGAAAGACAGTGCGGTGATGAAGATATTCCTGGTGCATACGCCGTACGCCAAGCGATGACTCCGTTTGGCGCAAAAAAAACTAATGGAATGTCCGTTATCTTTGAAGCTCCAAGAAACTTACCCTCTGGTAATGACTAACATAGCTATTGAAAATGGCCATAGAAATAGTGAGTTTTCCCATTAAGAATGGTGATTTTCCATAGTTATGTAAACGTTTACCAGAGGGTAATTGAAGCACCAAGAATTATCCCCGAGCATCCTTGACGAGTGAAGGGAATCCGAATCCTGCTGTTTCACCACAGAAACATCAGAAACCCCTCACAGGGCCGAGGAACCATGCCCACTTCTCTCCCCCAAGCTTTTGGTACAAATTGGCGCTGACAAAGCCGCCAAGCAGAGCTGTCACCTTGGGATTCTCAGCGAATGGAAATCCAACCTACGAATCATGGGGATTTGGCCATACCCAAAAAGCCGCTGGTCCAATCAAAATTTGGCGAATTTTCATGGGGCTTGACCAGCCAAAATGGGACATGTAAAAAAATAACATGATATAACATGATATAACCACCTCTCGATCTCTAGACTCTAAAGGACATCGATAGCTATGTGGACATAGCTTTGTTTGTTTTTTTTGGGTCAAACAAGAAGACTCATGGGCATGCCAGGACTCTGGCAAAAAATTACTGCTATGCCACTCTCTTTGGGTGTAACATCATTGATATATATATATATATATATTGATCTTGATTCAAATGAACAGGAACTCCTATTGATCCCTGTAAAAAAAAAACAGTGACCTTCTGCAGCCATCAAGCAACATCAGTTTTTGCAATTGTTTGTTGTAGAGTTCATTGCGAAGTCTTTTAAATGTTTTTTCTCTCATCAGGAAGTAATTTCTTAAACTTCACTCAAACTGACTCCCAACATAAAAGTACATTTTAGTAGCCATGTTGGGGTAAATAATGGAAAAATATGGAAAATATGACCACTGGCTTGCCTTAAAAGAACACACAGCGCCTTTGCGCCACAACCTGCTCGCCGATCGGCCCGAATTGCTGGGTACTCCCGCCATGTAAGAGATGACCGCCGCAGAGGCGACAGCCCCACGCTGGTAGTAGGCACCGATGCAGCCCACCAAGACGACCATGAACATCATACTGCGTAGGAAGAAAACATGGGGATTTCATACTTGGGGGGTGCATAAAAAACACTTAGTAAATGGGTCAAAAAAAATTAGGATTATATATATATATATTTATTTATTTATGGGTTATATTAAAAATGAACCACTTTCTAAGTGGGATGCACATCCAAGTACTGGTTGATGGTTCACATACTAGTAAATCAATGGTTAATATATGTTAATATTAATACAAAAACTGATAATTAATACTTGTTGATGGCGGAAAAAAAAGGGAAAACCCCAATCTTCGGGTGGTTCATACTACAGTTAATACTAAAAATTGGAATCAAATCTGTGGTCTCCCAGGTCTGGATCCAGATCCGGATGTATTGAAGGGTTGTTCAGAAAAGCTGATCCAATATGGATTTAATATGCTTGATTTAATATCTAATGATCCAAGACTTTGGGATTGGGGATTGAGATCTGTTTTTACATGGATCAAAATTTGGATACCACTCCACCAAAGCTAAAAAAATACATATGATGTAATAGAATGTATAATAGATATTTCATGGTATTTCTCTGGCTTTCTTCAGATTATGAGTAGTCCCATGTACCCTCTGGTAAATTCACATAGCTATGGAAAATCACCATGCTATTAATGGGAAAATCCACTATTAATGGCCATTTTCAATAGCTTTTTGTTAGTTTACCAGAGGGTAGTCCCCAATTTCAGATGACTCACCGGCCTCGTGAGCTGGGCGCCTGCCCCAACCGCCTCGGACGGAGATCCGACGGATCTTCCATAGGATCCATGGTGCTGGTATATATATGCCCTGAACCTCCCATTGATACACAAAAATGTGTACCATTTTTTTCTGCCCGACCCGTTTAAGGTGTCCGAAGTTCCGTGGCTCTCCATAGTAATCCACCTGATTCTTTCCCCAAAGGCTCGATAGGACACTTTTGTCACGCGCTAATGCATGTGCAGCATGCCAAATACGACCTCGAACAGCCACGCCTGACAACATGGGTTGCATCGCAGCACATGTAAACAACCGAGCTTTGGACAGGGTAAATCTAAAGTATCCACCTCAACATCACGTATGTTTTTCATAGGCCAAGAATGGCCAAGATACCTCCAGCAAACAACCTTCAGCTATAGCGCAATTTTCACAACATCAACAGTCGGGCATTTTTGTTCACACGAAGAATCCTCATGCAGGGCGTTCAACATTCAACATTCAACACAAAAACGCCACAGTCACAACAAACAAATACATAACATATATAATCATATATAAGATGAACACTACACGCGGCAAAATCCAGAAACATGCGCACCGGGAGTCCAAGTAAAACGGAAATGAAGCCATTCCATGAACTAAACGGTGCGATGGAAGAACTGGCTAGGCTCAGACTGAAACAACATGCCCCCCACAAGCTCAAGACCACATGGCGGCGCCTTCTCTCCGGACCATGCCTTCTGATCGGACCATGCGTAAAAAGGGTTTTCAAAAACACGCGACACGTCATGACGGTCAAAACAAGAGGGTCAAGTGGTACACTTTTTTTTCGCGCCCGTTTCGCGCCTTTTTGCGCCCGTTTCGCGCGTTTTCGCGCCCGTTTCGCGCAAGACCCTTGAATAATATCAGGCGCAAAATGTCAACATCATGCATGTCAAAGCCGACCTAATGCAAGGCACCATTTTTCATCAAGCAAACGTCAACCTGACCGTGTTTCCCAGAGTTCACGGTCAAACTTTGTCATGCACAGCCATGCCACAGGCCGGCTACTTTTGCCATGAGGTGTTTCCACATATAGTCCCATGCATCAAGCACTTGTGCGTCGTGCCATGAGTTACCCATGGGCAGGGCTTCAAACATTTCACAGCGAGCGGAAAATTTCCGATTTTTATCCTGGAGGAGGAATCAGATGCAACCATCTGAAAAATAAGTCATGCATCCAGTCATGCATGGAAACAAGAACGTCTTCAATATCGTGCGCAGCAGCCTTGCTTTTTGATTGAAGTAAATCATGGTAAAGCTATATATGGGGTATGAGGATATTTGGCACAGATTAATAGCTGCATGTTGGTCACATCATCTGTGCCCATGTCATCTTTCAACAAACACATTGTGAAAGTAACTATATAGGCCAACTAGGCTTCAAACCCAGCCACATGCTTGCCAACAGGGCTGATTTGGACGTATATGTTTGAGCACAAGTTGGGAAGGGGCTGGCAAAACTGAAAACGGCACAAAACATAGCCATTATTAGCCACTTGGAAAAATATGTCCACACAGTTACCTTTTAAAAAATGTGCTCGAAAATGAGGTTGTTTTCAGAATCTGCCCGTTTACCAAAAAAGTGTACCAAACACCCTAAAAGTACACATTTATCTGTACCACTGGGCGGTGCAGGCATGCTAACATTTGGGGTATATTGATGGTAAATGTTACCATATATAATCCATATATGGCATACATGGATCCTATGGGAAACCAATTAAGCCTCATCCATTCAGAATCCAGAAAGAAAATGAGAGCGAAATTCAACTTAGCATCAATGGTTCCTAATCTGGTTCCCGATTCCCTCAAAGAATTTCGACTACCATTGTGAAGGGCTTGCTCAACTGTGATTGGAAGAGGCATCAGGCACCCGGAACATGCTATAGCAAAAGTTCGAGAGATGAACAAGTAAAATCCAGGACTATAATAAGTACAATAGTAGGAATATGTATACTGTATTAGGAATTATGTCTAATCTTTCACAGATTTCTAAGTCCCCATTTGCCACTACGGATTCAAACAAATTGCAAGACACCTGACCATAAGAAATCATCTTTCCAGGCGCTGAGAACAAGGGGTGATACTTTGAAAAGTCGTGTTCTTTGCACATCTGTAGGGGATCAATAACAATTGATACAATGGGTTCTGGTGGGTTATATGATCTGATAAACCCATATAAACCCATGTTTGTTCAGTTGTACGAACCACCCACAACATTGTCTTTTTCTCCGCAGAAGGTTTTAGATGTTTCTCCCACAATTTTCAGGGGTTCAACGGTTCTATCATTCACCTCAAGGCCGCTTCGGGAGAGTTACCGTACCTCACCAAGCCTCGTGAGGAGGTCGTTCTTGTTCACCGAGATTTTTGTCATCCCAAGTTTCAACTTGTTCCCATGATAATCCCTGTTGTTGATGGTTAACTCTCTCAAATTCCATTGTAGTCCCTAGTGGTTCTAATGCATCGAGATCTACTGGTTGCTGGTTGTGTCCCAAAAATATATGCCCGTCATCTCAACCAAGGACACTGTTGCTCTGGCTGACAAAAAAATGACACCCCCCCCACCCGTCTACATGGGTAGTCAAAAATGGGTACCCCAATTATTGGACAATACTAAACTAGACTACAATCATCCAAAAAACCCTATGTTTTTTGGGGGCTCGGGTGACCTACATCAAATCAACGCTGCCCCCTGAGGGGTGCCCCATTGTTTGGTCCGAAAAGCCGAGCAGAAGAAGAGCCGATGCTTTGGCGCTCGAAAAACATCGGCATGGAGAAGCTTCCAGCCTGGCGCCAAGCTTTGACCCGGCAAAAAGGTGACTTTGGTGGTGGATGATTTGAAAAAAATAGCCCAAATTAAAACTGGTTGGTGGTTGACCTACCCCTCTGAAAAATATGAGTTCGTCAATTTTTCCAGGATTGTCCCATATATGAAATGGAAAACCAGTAAAAGTATGTCCAATTGGGATGTATGAACATATTCCATTAGACTTGGAGCTATCTAAGAATGATTTCACATAGAAATCTGGTGGTTTCGGTCCAAGTCATTGGATTCCCCCACCATGGTTGTTGAACAATACTACCCTCTGGTAATTTAACATAGCTATTGAAAATTGCCATTTATAGTGGATTTTCCCATTGAAAATTGTGATTTTCCATAGTTATGTTAGTTTACCAGAGGGTAGCCCTATGACTTAGGACAAATCGGAAACCTCCTCTTTTTCGAGGGATTCAACAAATTTAAAATGGAAAATGCTTGGAGACCATCCACTGATACATCAAAAATGGAACCAATACTTGGATCATCCTACACATCATAAGTGGGTTAGTTCACCCCTATGAGTTGATTAACATTGATTAACCATATCCCATTTATAACCAACTATATAAGCTACCTACTGTGGGATGAGCCAGTGCTTGGGGGATCACCCCAGCAATCGTATCCTCTGGTTCATATGCCATGGTTCATTTATAGATGATTTATAGATTATGAACCATGGCATATGAACCATGGCTATATATGTATTACCTAGATTTATAACATCACAACCATGGCATTTTATAGATTTATGACCTGTTGCCATGGTTGTGATGTTCCATAGCTATATCAAAGGCATCCAAAGGCTGGAAACCGAGCCCCCGATGATTCCGATGATCCGAAGTCGACTGGTCACTTCTGTCGTTTCAGGGCCAAGGGGACTCCCACTTAGGTCATGGATAGGTCATAGGATCTTCAATCTATTGGATAGTACAGGTATAATCCCACAAATCACAAACCAACAGGGCTATTGAACACTGCTCACATTGCTCACATGGCCGGCCTTTAAATTTAAATTAAAGGTCCTGAAATGGGTGTTTTTGATAGGTTGGTTTAAGTGAGAAGCTTAACCGGAAACCTGCAAGTTTTTACCAATGAAGAACATAGGGGGTTGCTATAAATTGTCCAATCATCCAATCCTGCGACTGTTTTCGATTGGATATATTGAGGAAATTGAACAGGATATAATGGAATAATTGTACAGTATCTGAAAACTGTATATATATATATATTATATTATATATATATATTATATTATATATATATGTTATATATATATTACATTATATATTATATATTATATATTATATATTATATATTATATTATATATATAATATAATCCCCAAAACTGCAATTCTGATAGGGAACACGGTGATGAACAACTGGAATTCGGGTGTTTTTTTTCCTAGTCTCAGATTTCTCAGACAAAACTTGGGATCTACGGTGGTAACCACACGAAAAACTGCCGTTTTTTTTTCACCACTCATTTTATGGAGTTCCAACGGGAACAAATGGGATATGATGGGATACAATGTAAAACCTATAAAAACCATATGATGGGATAGCCAGCCCTAGATATCTCACAAATAAGTGCTGAAAATGGGAATTAGACCACCTGAAAAGCCAGGGGGTACAGCCGGGTACAGCTCATGTTTAGCTGCTTAGTCTATTCTCAGAAGTTATGGCCTAAGAAAATGACCCTTTCATGTGCAAAACCAAAAAACCGATAGTATATCCAATAAATCTAGAAACATACCCAAAATTGGGGATGATTTATTATAGCTCTCCCAAAAATTATTCTACAATCCCATGATTGGTTATCCCATTATCAATCACATCATAAGTCCATGAATTATATGGCATCGGCTTAAAATGAGACTGGTCCGAATTTCACCAAAGTTCGTATTTTTGAGAGTCCAAGATACCAAGGTCCAACTACCAGGGCTGAGTTGCTGCGCCTGTCTCTTCCTCTACAGCATTCAGTTCCTCATCGGGAATCTGCAGATATCGCGAGAGGTCCTGACGTCATGGCGTGACGCCAATCATTGGCAAGGTTTGACCCATAGCCGCCATGGCCCATATGAAGTAGGATGGAACATAGATAAATAAACATAACATGATATATGTATACATTAAAGTATACATAGTATATTATAATATAATACTAAACATAACATACCATATCATAAATAAACATAATATATGTATAGTATATTATATACCACCTGGTTATTTAACATGGCCATGGAAAATCCCTTATAAATGGAGGTTTTAGTGGGAAAATCATCCATAAATGGCCATTTTCCATTGCTATGTTAAATAACCAGATGGTATATATAACTGAAATTCCGGCAACGGAAATGGTGAACAGTTAGGGGTATTCCCTCACACACCAAACGCAGCAGCGCAATTGTTTCTACCACCAAGCCAGCTATGGCTTCAAGGGCCCTATGATTGAGCCGTAGTCCAACGGCATGCGAGGTCTCATCCAACCTGCAAGGCTAAATGAATGGCACTGTGCATTTCCATTTTCATACGCCCTCAGAGTGAGGTAGGCCGATTGGGCAAAGGCTTCAGTTTCATAGGTTCATATTTCATCTTTCCAGATGTCTCGATCCGTTACCTTCAGGGATCTCACTTCAAGGTTCGGTTGAACTCATAGCCATCAGACTTCGTCCATCCAATCTTCTTGAGGTACAAGGCAAGGTCGCGTGCTTGGGTGCACTTCCCATCCTTGGTAAGATCTGCCAGCGTGGGCGTGGAGGTCGCCTGAATCCACGAGAGGTACTTCATAGCTTCTTCATCTTTTTCGGCCATCTCTGCAATCTCGGCATAGGAGATATTCATATGAGAGTACTTCTTCATGGTGATCACGGTGCGGCCCCATTGCATCACGGTTGTGATACCCTTGGGATAGGGCACGTTGTGGCGTGTCAGCTCTTGACATGCCTGGATCATGGACCCCTGTGTCTTGGGCTGATCCGTGGCTCCCATGGCACTGCGATCACATCCTGCAGCATAGGAACTGGCTCCTGAGGTGGCTGGTCCATCTCCACGGAAACCATGAAGTCGATCCATGAAGGTCTCACCTGCCACATCATCCCATGATTCCGACTCCTCGGTCTCAGAGAACTCAATGCGACGTTTCGATGAGTCATTCATCGCCTGGATCTGTTCCAGCACATCACCGCAGGTCACTGCGATTGGGCGGCCATGAACTTGGCCAGCAACCAATTTGACAAGCCCATGCGCTTGTCCATGCATCACGGCACGGCGAAGGAGGCCGGCGCATCGGCGCATCTCCATCTCACCGAGAGGCTCATCGCTCTCAGTCTCAGGCTTGGCCATCTTTCGCAAGGACATGGCGAAAGGAGAGACGGTGGAAAAACTTCTACCCCTTTTTGGTCGGGAAAATGCGGCGCTCGGTGGACGAGCTTGCATCACATGGTCACATGTTATGACCCTTTCGGAAAAACTGTACATCTTGCAGTGTGCTGAAAGGCTGGCACTCGGCTTCCCTACAGGCTTATTTGTTTCATATATTATTGGTTACATCCCCAATTATCCACACAGCTATCTATACACTATACAAAACTTTTTGGCGCTTCGGCAGGCTGATTCCTAAGGACAAGTTGGTACGGATGCATTCTGAGAAAAACTACTGTGGTGGCAAAATGCCTTGGGCCTCTTTTGCTTTTTCCTTACGGCCTGACTCGGTGCATGGTTTTATATGGTACTTCCATTGTTGCACAAGCTCATACAACGGTTTGACATCACCCTTAAGTTTTGTGAGAATATCAGCAACCATCCTGACATTGTTTATCCAGAAAGCAAGAATATTCTGATTAGACATGGTTTCCTTTGCAATGGCATAGTCAATTTGAAGTCTTCTCTCAACTGATATCGCTTGACTACAGCAGCTTCGAGTCACTGCATCGTAAAACCCTTTTGAATCAGTCACAAGTGCGGCTGGATTTTGAGGTTTGGATTCTCTAAACTCTTTGGGGGTGGTACCTTCTAAAGTCTCTGACAACAAGGCCTGAAACATCTCTATGGCATCTAAACCGTTCTGGCCTGACAAGGTCTCGGCAGCCACCGATGAACGGACTGCGCGTCTCAGCTTTTTCGATGTCCAGTCAACGATCCAACAGGTCGCTGGTTTTTGTTCCAAAATGGGCTTTGCAGCAAGGCATAGGAAGTATCCTCCTTGGGATTCTCCGTTTCCACGAGTGCCCCATCCTGCATCGGCTATCGCTATGATCCTCCAGTCTTTTATTGGAACATGTGAAGGAAACTTCAAACAAAACTTTCTCTCTTTCATTTCTCTCAAGGCTTTGTTATACAACTGGACATGAGATACTAATCCCTTATCCTGCATTCCTTGGAGATAGGAGGAAAGGAAAGCCTGGTCAGGCCTCGTTGAGTTTGACACCCATGCCAACTGGCCTGCGCACTGTCTCAACAAACTTGGATTTTTCAGTGGTGTACCTGCTGATCCTAGTGGCTTTGTTTCGACCGGCAAAAGGCTATCAATATAGGATTCCTGACCCACTTCTATGCTGAAGTCATGTCTGTTTTGCCTGATTTCTACCCCAGTATATCTGATGGTATATGTGCGATAATCCCCAAATGGTAACTTTTTCTTCAAGTCCTGGAGTACTTTATCCATTTCTTTTGAACCCCCACCTAGGATATCGTCTACATGAATACCACAGATCCCCAACAACTTTCCTGATTTCCTCAAGGTCCAAAGGCATGGATCTAGGGCTGATTGCGTCAGACCTACGGAGCGCATCTCGCGGCTAAGTCTGAGGAACCAAGCTCTAGGAGCTTCGGCCAGGCCATATGCAGCCTTCTCTAATTTCATCAGGTCTTGGTCATCAAGCTGCATCCATTGGCGAATCTCAGGAGGTGGTTTGAAGTAATCCCTTCCTCCTAATACTAAACGTCCCCCTAATACTAAAAACAGGCATCCATCTCCAATTTCCGAAAATTTCAGTTTGGCCAATTTGACTTTTAATTGATCCCCTTTAAAAAACAATTTAAAAATCAACCTACCATTTGTGGGTTCTCCCCCCTAATACTAAAAACTAGTTCACCCCGGGGTGTTTAGTATTAGGGGGGCCTAGTCCCAATCCCTCACTCCAAGCTGCCTGGCTACTCTAGCAATTAGGGGTAAGCTTCGAACTGCCATTTTTGGCAATATTTTAATTGCGTTATATAAGGAAATTTAATTGATTTTGAGATCGGAAAAAATAGTTTTTAGTATTAAGGGTTTTAATTTAGTATTAGGGGTAAGCTTCGAACTGCCATTTTTGGCAATATTTTAATTGCGTTATATAAGGAAATTTAATTGATTTTGAGATCGGAAAAAATAGTTTTTAGTATTAAGGGTTTTTATTTAGTATTAGGGGTAAGCTTCGAACTGCCATTTTTGGCAATATTTTAATTGCGTTATATAAGGAAATTTAATTAATTAATTAACATGACTTCGATTTGGTTCCCTAATAATAAATACCCCCCTAATACTAAAAACTACCTGCCGTGTTTTGTATTAGGGGGGGGGGGTTTAGTATTAGGAGGAAGGGATTAGATTTCACGGTCCGATGGGTCACCAGATAAAAAGGCTGTTTTGATATCTGCACCCCACAAGACCCAGTGCATGGCTGCACAAACAGACAAAACAAGGCTCTTCGACTCCTCCCGAAGTGTCGGACTGTCGGTAGCGATTTTTCCCAGTTCTGGATCCTGCCATCCTACCAGCACAAGGCGTGCTTTTGGAGTTTTTCCCCGGTCATCGGGATCGGAGGACTTTTTCCAAACAAGAACCCAACGTGCTTTGATTATCCTTTCCTGGGGTATTCCTCGGGATTTACATATGGTGGTTACCTTATTCTTATTCTCTACCCAGGAGTTCCACTCTTTCTGCATAGCACCTTCAAACAATTTTTTGTCAGAGGGACTAAGTTTACGAAAGTTCACTTCGACTCTCCTTTGTTTTGCAGGGGCTGGACCAGCTAACAAGCATTCATCTAGGATACCCCACAAGAAGTTAGGATTATCGTTGATATCAGTGGTAAGGACATCAAAAGACACTTCCAAAACTTGCTCAGTGCGCTTTTTGTGTTCAACACTAAGTTCATTATCTTCAGGCACTGGGGTGTTTATGGGATTTGGTGGTTCTTCGGATGGAGCGGCAGGCTCGATTGGGACATCTGGCACACTACTCCCAGGCATGTCACCTGAAGCAACGACTTCAGTCGGCTGTACGGCGGTCGACGACTGCTCAAGGTTTTCATCTTCCATGGGTTCATCCCTTGGAGATTGTGCTGGAGATGTGGGTTCATAGGCTTCTTCAGGGATTGGGTCTATTTGTAACCTACGTCTTTGAGCAGGCGGCTCAGTAGGAACATTACCAACTGAAGTGATGACACCAGGAACCTCGCCCTCTTTGATGGAACCCATTGGAGGTGCACCAGCTGCACGGCGTTTCCAATACTGCTCTGACCTAGTGATTCTCATTCTGATTCTCCTAGGCATTGGAAGTCCATCATCCCCATCTTCTAGGCTGGTTCTTTTTGTGGGTTTATTTGGGCGATCATCACCATCTTCATCATCTCCCCAATCATCATCATCGGGTTGTTCATCCACATCATCCTTGAGTTCATAGTCATCGTCCTGCGGACGTTCTTCAGTGACATCCTGAAACTGGCCGGCACGGTCGGCAAGGGACTGCTCTGCAGATTCAACATCAGGGTGCAACCTTCCCTCAGCAAGTTCTTTGGCCAATCGACGGAACTCTGATTCGTCTTCTGGGACCGGCCTAAGGCCTTCTGGGGAGCATTTATATAGATACCCATTCCAAGCAACCCAAACAATCCTGGGAACGAAATGACCAGTAGAACTCTCAGTGCCTATGACTCTACCGGGACCACTCCAATACCCATTTCTGGTGGTTAATTGCCCTTTTCCCCTACGGCGGAAAATATAGACAAGTTGACCAGGTTGATAGGGGCCTC